GCACAAAATATTCCTCGTGAGAATCCTTGAAAATTTTAAGAATGTAACACTCTAGCCAGAGATGGAATGTTGGTTTCTTCGTGGTATTCAATGCTTTCTACGTGGAGTTATCGATTCCGAGAGTATATCTTGAATGCATATATATGCTATGCATTCACCTACTTCAGCAGCGAAAGGGTTAAGGTCATCGTTTCTCATTTACACATATAAAGACGAATCGATCACACCTCGCTTTATCATTCAGCAACGGGGAAAGTTAAGCGCGCGTTCAATCGAGTCGTGGAAATCTCGACTTTCGACCTCGCATGAGTCGCAGTGCAAGTCGATAAAAATTTCTCAATAAGGAATACGAACGTATTTCTTCTGACATTGTTTCTCTATTTCAGTGATGTTTTTTAGAGGTAGATAAACTCTTGTAGACTATAAAAAATTCACAAACGGATTGCAGGTTATTGCATCACTCTATTTCATTAAAAAATATATTAAGGATACTAATGATAAATATTGTAATATTAAGGATAGTGTTAGAAAATGCATTAACATTAATTTTTAAGCGACAGGAAATAGAATTATTTACATGTGAGGTATCAACTTCGTGAAGTATCAATGTACATTGCTTTTTGGTCGAAAATTATATGTTTCTAATCAAATGACCGGAACACTGCATTTAGTAATAATATAAGGTGAGAGGGTCAACCGGGATAGCGGATGTCACGCCAGTTTCGGAGCTCTTTAAATTAGGATTTAAGCAGTTAATTGAGGTGCTCGGTCTACGACCGAAGGGTCAATCGTGAGAGTCGATTTCGGGCCCTCTATCAGCTTCCTGTGAATTTTCAAAGAGGAAATTCGTGAAGAATAACAAACTCAATGAAGAGCCACTTTCGACTCTGTTACTCAGTCTCCGGTGCAGGAAATGTTGGATAGATAATGCAACCGCGGCCTACGTAAACGCATCCGAGTACTATCACGTATCACCGAACTGAAACCGCAGTGAGATATATATTTAGCCTAGTCGACGATAGGACGCCTGGCTGATGAATATATCAGGTTACTGATTAAGGAAATAATTATTTATAATACATTTCTCTCAATCTTTACCGAGAAGATTATATCGGATTATTGATAAATTACGACGAGGATCTGACATTTATGCTTTCGTTGTGCAAATGAATTACATTCGTGGAATCTTTTCCAAAATAACAAGCGACAAATCTAAAATCCAATCGATTTCTGAGATTACGTGAATATTAATTGAAAATCGATGCTTTTAATGAAGCAATAAGTAAGTGACAGTCCAGATAGAACATCAAAAAACATACCCAAGCCAAGAAAAAATCAAAATGACTTTATTTTTATGTCATGAAAGTCAAAATGATAATTTTTGATTACAAAATTTGACTGTTTATTTGACATTAGGAATAAAAATAAAATCAGTTTGCTTTTGTTGACTTTTGTGTGCTCCATAGGATGCTCTACAGTGTCATATAATGATAGAATAGTTATTACAACTTCGTTTGTCACTTATAAATAAACATATAAGTGACAAATAAAGTCATGATAACATTTTTATGATTTCTATGTTTAAATAGAAGACTAAATAATATGTAATATATCAATTAATTCTCGCTTTGTTCCACACTCTACGTAATGGTCTACTTCAACCGTAATCGATTTAGTTCTTATAGATACTGATGGATGATTTGACTTTTCCTTTCTATTTAAATATCCACGAGGAAAAAGCCTCTTGACAGTGGCACGAGAGTTTCTCTGTTGCCTGCGGCGCGCACGTGCGTATCCTGCATGCTGCGATTCGTCATCCGGAAGGACCGATGATTGTTGTGCGTTCATATCGTGCGCTCGTCGAGAAGTCGTCCTTGTCTTTTCGCCACAAAACCGGTTACCTTTGCAACCTCGGGCCTTGATAAATCGTAGGAGTACGGCGACATATTTTCTCCGAAACGTCTGCGTTCCCTCTTCTCTTCTTCTCCTCTCTCGTCGCGGTATCACCGACTCGGAATTAATATTAAATGCTTTGAGCGAAGGGTCAGGGTTACATTTTAAACCGTCTGAAAAAAAATTAATCTTTTATTTGCGTATTTTATGCATTCTTCATCTAAAGCTTATACGCGACTGAAATAATATTTTAAAAATAATAAAATACAAGATGAGACTCTAAATTTTCCGATTTCTTTCCATTTTATTGAAAATCACTTCTCAATTTAATTGTTCGTATTTTTTGTTCCTAAATTTCCTGTGATCTTGTAACAAAGTACGAACGACGTTCTTGGAAAATCGATATCAAGAATGTACCTCCCATGATCGCCGTAGGCTATAACGTACGTTTGAGATTTATTAACGAAGTACGCAAGAACGAAGACGTAGTTTTCCGAAGAAGGTGTGCCGAGAAAAAAGAAAATCGCAGGGAGAATCGTGGAGAATTGCACGCTCCGGTCATTACGAAACCGCGAACGCCGAGAGATTCGTGACGTGCATTTCTTCGAGAAGAAACGCAAGCTGTGCGAAGAGGGCAGACGACCTCAGGGTCCCTATCGGGCCCCATGCCACGTCTCTCTCGTCACGGTCCTTGGTACCTACGCCCTTTGTGTCTCAGAGTAGGTAGGAATTTCGAAGTCGACGTGGTTTGACAACGGTCGGAGGAAATAGGGTGGGTACTCCGGGTACTCAGGTACCTCTGAAGCTATTACGAACACGATACGGAGCAATCCATTGTACTTAAATCAATGCTGTCTTGGACATAACCGACTTGAATAAATAACATACATAAATCTTACATTGTTCGATAGGTACTTTCCATTTAGTGACATAAATTGATATAAACGTCGTTTTATCTTTTTCTTTTGCATTCCACGAGTAACAAAGCAGAGCAATATTTCTGTCGATTTGTGTCATCGAATGGAAAGCACTCAATGAAGAATGAAGCTTGGACTGTTAGAATGTATGTATTTGAAATATACGTATAAATATATGTATTTGACTATCTAGGTCTTCTGTACAGCTATTTGTAGTTTTACCATGACACCTAAAATGACAGACAGTTTCGTGGATTCCGTAATGAAGTCCGTTATCGCAAAAGGTGCGCGTGATGTGGCGATTAAGCAGTGATGATAGTGCGCAGCGGGACGTTGTCAGATTAGTTAGGAAATCTTGCGAGACGTCGCGTGAGAGGGTTCTTCTATTCTAAACCAAGAATCCGCAAAGAGATTCTAATGAAGACGTACTGCGGCGAGAGAAACCCGCAGCTCGTAAACAACAACATTTATTAACGTGATGATATCGCGTGCAGCTTAACGCATCAAAGCCGCACAAATCAGCGCAACCAATTGCATTAAGAAAACTTTAGGTTCAGCTGATAGAAAGGAAATTCGTATATAACGATTAAATTTCCTTTCGTCGTTACGCTGGACGGCATACCATTAGTAAAGCGAGCAGCAATTCCACATAAGTTAGTGTGTAATTATATAAGTAAGATAGGCAGTTAGATAAGAAATGTAGATTGTATTAAAAATACAGAAAGAAAGATTGTGCTATAAAGTATCTAAAAAAATTAAATATAGATCTGAAAATAATTTTGTTTGATCATTAAAATAATTATGTTAGAATGCTTAATGAGCAATACTGTAAAAAGTTTCTAACAACCAGCTTGTATGTCCCACATAATTATTTTGTTGGTCCAACAAAACTATTTTTAGATCTGCGTTTAATTAAATTTTTTATTACTTTAGTATCTGAACTTTATAGTAAAACTGTTCTTTCCGTGTAGATTTTCCTTGATGAAAATTAAAATTAGAATGTAAGTCGAATGTAATGAGAAAGTCCCAAGCAAAACAAGTTACGATAACGTCAAAATGACATTAAAATGAATTGGAAATGATTAAAAAATGACTTTTAATAATCATTTTGAAGTCACTTGACATCATTTTGACATCATAATGACTTGTTGTTTTGTTTGAAGTAACAGAAGCATAAACGAAACTCAGAAGGCAAAAATTGAAACATCAAAATGTAAAAGAAATGTAAATGCTTCTTTTACATTTCATTGTTCCAATTTTCGCTTTTTAGAAATTTTGTTTACGCTTCTGTTACTATCCCATTACATTCGATTTACGCTTCACTTTTTATTTTCATCAGGATTGAATTATATCACTTTTTCAATTGGACTATATTTTAGAAAAATTAATCTTAATAAAATTTTTTGTAAATCACTGATCGTCAGTAAATCATTGAATCAGGTTGACAGTATGAATAATTTCTTGGCGATATCGGTTAAATATAAAACAAGTTCACTCACAATCAGCGTTTGATTCGAAAGTGTTTATCGTTAATAATATTTCTCAATGACATCCCAACTCGTGACACGAAGGAACATTTATCTCCATCTGATTACACGTGCGTGTTGTATTCCAGGCTGAGTCGTAAAAATAAACAGCTAAGCAAAATACGTCAATTAAATTGATAATACTAAAATATATACTAAAATATAGCTCTAACAGTGATACGTAAATATATTTAAGCGAAAAAAAATTGTGACTATCTTTCACAAAAAAAATATTTAAATTTATATTCCAACAAAAAAATAAAAGAAAGAGAAAGCTTAAAAATGTTTTATTTGAATATTTTATAACACAAAAATATAGACGTAAATCTATATGATTTATTTAACTATTATATATTTCATTTACACATTTAACGGTATTTTCTTTTCTGTTATTAATTTATTATTAATATTACAAAATACATATAAAATATAATAATAAAAATATATTATCTCTCGCAATAATCCTCTTAATTTCATAATTTCGACAATTTCCAATTTTAACATCCCTTTAATCTTTTTAATTATATTTTATAGTATAATAATACATTAAAACCTCGGACAGCTAAACGCGTCGCTGCACTGCCAGGTTCAATCTGCTGTTATTGATATCTTTACCTACTCACAAACAAGTAAAAAAAGAAGTGAAGAATGAGAAAATACTCACCTGTTGAAGGTCTGCTCGTACTGCTTGATCTCGCGGCGCGACAGCTCATGGAACTCCGTATAAACGTTCACAAACTTGTACTGCTTCTTCACCTCCTTGCCCTCCTCGAGTTCGTCGTTGATCCTCTGCCGCCTGCTGAGCAGGCTGCTGAGTTCGGCGTCCGCTGGCATGATCCTCGATCCTTCGGATCGAAACACACGTGAATGAAGAAGGACGAAGTAATTAGCGTTGAAAGTCAAGCTTTGCGGAGAGCTTTGCGTGAACGAGAGCGTGGCACGCGATTGTCGCGAGTCAACGAGAGTGAAGGAGAGAGCCTGTCAGGATAGACGAGTCGAGGAATACCTGATCGCAAAGAAACAATCCACACGCTGCGGCGAAACCGCATGTACTGACGCGGCGCCGAGCGTAGGAGCAACTGCTAGCCCGGCGAGCAGGCAGTGCCGTAGTCGTCGGACACATGAATACGTTTATACGAATACAGTTTTCCCTCCGGTTTATCTGAATTTTGAAACGCGATAACGGTTTGTTCAATAGCTCATTAGAATATCTCGTCTAACGGTTCAAAAAATCATTTGCCTTTATTTGTATTTGTATAAACATTACAGAAATTTAATATTGGTGAAAGTTTAGTATTGGTCAATTTATTATTAAAAGACAGTAATTACCCGGGAAAAAAATGTTCTATATATAGACATATTTTATATATAATTATGTATAATTGTATATAAATATATGTTAATTTTTTATATAATTATTGTATAATTATACATGAGAGAGAAATCTTTTTTTCCAGGGTAGTTAGTTATTTGAATTTTTGAGTACTAAAAGTATTGAATAATAATGCCCCTAATACTTAAAATAAGTAATTAATTGGTGTTTTCAATATTGGCCAATGTTAGATTTCTGTAAGGGTTTAAAGATTTCTCTATAAACATAATTGTAAAACTATTTAATGCAAGAAGAAGCTTATGATTAATTAATTTCTATTTAAAAATAGTACATTTCTTTCCTTCAATTTTGTATGTTGAAATACATAATAAAAGGGCACCTTGAAATACACAATAAAAGGGACAATTTAAATTGTCAAATTAATTGATATAAATCTTTTATTTTTTTTCTGCTTTGAGGAATTTGCGTAAATATTTTATGTGAAATCTGATTACTTTATGTAATAATTGTTCCAGATTATGAAGTTACTTGAGAATAATAGGAATATCATATCAGAGAATCAATTAAAAGAACAAATAATAAAATAATAAGATAATATAAATATATATATAAATAATTATAAATTAACAAAGTAAT